CCATTCAATGCATTGAGAAGCTGTGTTGTTGACATCACAAGCTTTCCCACAATTACTAGGTCTAAAAGTTCTTTCTTGTTTATAGCACCATTCTTGAAATTCCTTCTCAATTCTCCCCTTCTCCCGTTTCCCAACTAGTAAAGTCTTCGATCTGCTGGATCAATCAATTCTACTCCTTTTCTATAATGTCCTAATTTAAAGTGCATTCCTTCATTTTAATACTAAGTCTTTTATAAACACCTTTAAACCTTTTATTTTCTCCATCAGCCTATACCCTACCCAATGCATCAATTAACAGCCGCACTATAATCCTGCCCACAAACCTTAAACTAACTTCAAAGGCTGTGATTCTTGCATCAGTATTCACACACCTTAAAGGAGGAGGGCCCCAACAAAAAACTACTAGATTCTAACAAAAATGAAGTACGACTTAATATGCAACATGGTATTTGTTATAAGTGGAAAAGTAGCCTTGTTAACAAAATACACAAAGATCTAGGTCTTTCCGCTCCAATCCGTTCATTAAAAGAAACAAAAAAAAAAAAGTGAAGCATTATCTAACACCATCTCAATTTTTTTTTTTTTTTAAAAAAAAAACTTCTTTTCTGTTCGAAGTTTGGATAATAAAACATATCAAGCTTTGATAGAAATGGACACTCCCTTGTGTTTCACTTCAAAAATGTTTCAATTGTTAATGACTAGACAATCTTTAATAGAAAAGGTACGATGAAAATGGGCTGTTAGTGATTGAATTCCAAGGAACTGGAGTTAAAAGAGACGTCTAGGGATATCCTAGAGAGAGATGCCAGGCCAGCTCAACCAATAATTAAAAAGTGCAAATATCTCACCATTAGAAAAGCTAATAGTCCAAGTAAAATTTAAAAACAGATTCTCGCATTGTGCCAATAATGTTTTTAGGAAAAGAAAACACATTTAGACACAAGATAGCTCACCCGCCTAGCACCAGCCTGAGCACAAAATATGGAGAGGATACCAGTGCCACAGCCAACATCCATTACAACCTGTATTCAATTTAGTAAATAAACAGGAAAATGAGCACAGATCCAAATAGAATCCGGAAATGGATATATTATGCTATACACATGAAAGACTAAAGTTTTGACCCTGTTTTGATAGAGTGAAAGATAATGATAATGAATGTGAGAGTCAAAGACAGCAGATGCATGAAACTCTGTGTAGCAGAGAATAACCATGGATTAGATCAAAGAACTACGCAAAAAAACTGACTAGTAGCAGACCGTTTTTCTTTGTTGGGTGGCTTAAATATAAATGAAATTTCCTCATAGGATGTTAAATCCTTTAATCTGTCAACTCCATTTTAAAATAGAGGAGGGCCAAGTATCTACTTTTACTGCGTTCATACTAATTTTTTATTTAAAAACCAACTTTCATTGAAGAAAATGAAAGAAAAAAAGACATGAGGGCGGCTCAAAAAGGAAAGCAGAAAACAGAAGAAGCCAAAAAAAACAAAAACAAAAACCTTCATTGTTCGTATAGTGGCAAGTGTTGGAATAGACTTCCAGAAATTTTAGTGTTTCTTGAGTATTCGATCAAAGGACAAAGAATAATATTTTCCAGCCACCTTGTGAAATAAACTTTAGAAGTAAAGTGAAGCTTTTATTTATGGTGTTTTGTTTCAAGTTTGTCATTGTACTTCTTCTTATAACGTAATTTTTCCTAGTTAGAGGGCATTTTCATAACGTTTTGGTTCTCCAAAAAGTCGAGTTCTGGTTTTCATAATATGAAATTATAATTTCCCGTATTTAGGAGGAATATGTTTTCTCCTAAAGGAGAATGTCTTTTCATTATCCATCTGTAACTTTTAAGTCATTAATGAAAAATTATATTTCTTTTATTTAAAAAGAAAAATAAAAAGACAAAAGATGGATTGAAACTATTTCATTAAACACATGGCAAAGAAACAAATTTTATAAATTCAGCACAAACATATTACTTTGCCAGCAATATAACTCTGATGTTGCATAATTGCCGCCCTATAAGTTTCAGTCCGCACGCTATCCTGAAAATAGGGATTTCACGATATCTATCAATATAAAGAAAGAACAACACATGAATGGAGTAAAATTTCCGAATTTACACGCTTGCATGTTTTAGCTAATATAATCCATTCATTCTAAATAATTAATATACATTCATAAATAAGAAGAAAAAAAAAAACTTAAACATTTGGAAAGACTACTCTCAGATGCAGTCAAAAGAATAATGGAGATATGGCAATAATTTTTGTGCGCATTTCAGAGTGTTGTTCCATCTTCTACAATGAAGATCCCATGCCATAACGTCTCCAAGCTCTCAAATATTTCCGAAGTTTTTTTCTTTAAATTCGGCAATTGGGATTCAGTGGAATTTCAAGAATACGGCTGATATGGATGCCTCACTTTATGTGATGTCTTTAAACAATTTTGCATGATCTTTTAAAAGGGTTGCAACGGAAGTATATCTGAAACTGTAACTCAGGTTCTTGAGAACTTCTTTTTATAAAGGAGACAATTAAAGATAGATAAACAGTGTCTCTACCTTTTGACATATCTTGACAACGTTTTCTATCTCAAAACCAAAATACTAGACTTCAGAAGCTTGGTCAACCCAGTCCCATCACCATCAGCTCCTTATTTGGTGTTCTTATAGCCGAAGACTAAGGAGAATATCAATTCTCAAGATCTTAGTACACATACATCAAAGAGGTCTCCGCAAAGTGTAGGGTCTTTCATCAGCATGTCTTTCTTCAAGGTCTTAATGCCACTTATGGTAGTCTAGCAAAGTTATCCTACATGTTGTCCCGTGTCACAACCTAACTATGAAGAGAGTAGGTTGTGACTCTCACGTTACGACAAGAGAAGTGGAGCCCATCTGGCCACACGAGGGACTAGACGAGTGTCATGATGCAACCGAGGAGGACGGTGCATCATCGATGTTCAGTTGGCAAAGACAAACTTCACCTAAGATCCGACAAAGCCACAAAGCCGGACAAAAAATGTATATGGGGCTGGTCATGAGCGTGTCAAGATCACGACGCCGCACGTTTGAAAAAATAGGACGGTGACACTCCGCCCCCAATTGGTGTGTCCTTGACAAGACAGAAGGAAATGGTCTATCTATATAAGAGCCAAAACTCAAAATGGAACATTGGCCAAGTGGGCAAGGGAAAAAGTGAAGGGACTACATAAGCTAACCAAACTAGTGTATATAATAAACGGTCTAAAGTTTGCAATAGCGATTATAGACTAAAACTTCTTGGGAATCCAGCATATATAAAACCCATTTCCACTATAATCAAGAACATCATTCTGAAAATAAGCCTCAAAACACCCCCACAACATCCTCCCAACCGATGTCCTAACTTCCTTCCAAGTATCCCAAAGTTCCACCGCTCCAAATAAAGGACAAAATTAATATCTCAAATTGACATCGTCTAGTAAAACGCATCAGCAATTATCACAAATAGAGAACAACAACCGAAACTGACCTTGATCATTTCTTCATGAATACCAACGTGCGAGTACGATTGAAAGTAGGCCATGTCAAAATCGGTACAAGGAAGTCCCTCCACTTGCTTCATCTGCTCATCTTCAGAAACCCTCACTCCGCCGCCATTGGAGGACCTGCTAGCTCTTCCCCGGCGGGGGCGACCTTTCTGGACGGTTCCAGGCCGCTTTTCGGAGGAAGAGTCGCCGTGGTGGAAGCCGTTAGAGTGGCCGGAGTTGGAATACATTTTCCGAGGCTTCTTGGAGCTGTCTTTGTGTAGTCGGAGCTGGGAATACAGTAGTGTAATTAAGGTGTGACGTTCTTCTTGCAATATAAAAGCGAACGAGAAAGGGCGGGCGCAGATCAAAATGTTGTCTCCCAAACGACATGTCGAATTATTTTTTGTCTTTAAGGAATTTTAATTTTAAAAAACAAATTTATTTATTTATTTGAAGTTGTTATTGAAATTTAAATTTTTTTAAAATTAGATTGATTAAGGTTATAATTATTTCTTTCTTATAAAATTTTATTATTTTTACTACAATATTTTATACCATTTTATTCTATTTCTATAATTCTTTAAAAATAAAACATTAAAATTAAAAATAAATTGTTCATTTAAATATATTTCATTATTAAAGAGTTTTTTAATTTAATTATTTAGGATACGAGATAGAATTAAAATAGAATAAATCTTCCAATTTAAAATAAAAAAGGATTTTTTTTTTTTTTTTTTGTTGGAAGAAATAAAACTCGAACCATAGCATATGTTAGGTTTTTTTTTAATTATATTAAATTTTTATGAGATGCTCTATCGGGATTAGTTTAAAATGTCCAAAAAAATTTAAATCATTTTTAATATAATAATTTTTCACGGTTTTAAGTTATTTTTTGTAAGTCAAAATTTGTCACACTGAATGTAATAGAAACCCGAGAGACATGCATGTTTATCTAGACCAAATTTTGTAACCTTTAAATTTGAGTTTGAAATCTATTATACTCTTAAATTTCAAAACGAGCTTTATTTCTTGATGTTTGAGAAATAAATCGTCGTAAAATATAATTTTCCATTTATCGACTAAGAATCATAAAACGTGGAGATTATAATATTAAATTCAAGATTTCAGAGACCGAATAAACATTAAACTTAGACATAAGGAACCAAAAGTTTATTTTCCACAAACGCCCTTTTTGACGAATTAATTCAAACATTTAATTTAAATAATTATTTTAAAAAATTACCTTTCAAATTAATTAAAATTTATTTTAAAGAATTATTAGAATATATATAATAAAAAATAATTATAAAATTAAATAAATATATGTATATATAATCCTTGTATCTAATTTATAAAGATTTTTAATTATAACAAAACAAGTTTATAATTCAACCCAAATTTAATTTAATTTTAAATATTAGAATTAACTAATAAAAAAATTAATAGAATTAAAAAAAAGATGAAATAAAAAACAAGTGAATTCATGAGATCTACGAAAGTCATCAATGATCAACAAAAACAAACTCCGTTTAGTCCCAATTCTTCCACTCGTTTTCCTCACGATTCCCCATCGTTCTAAGTATCTCTCTGATCAATTTGTTCTCCAGAGATATCTCTCAAATTCTTAATCCCTCGGATTCCATCTTCTTCAACAATCGTCTCTTCAATCTCCGCATTCGCCATTGGCAGCCATTGTTGAACACTTCACAGAATGAACAGAGTTTCCATTATCATATACATTACAGTTGCCATTCTTCTTTTTCTTCTCATTTCCCACTCGCCCAAGAAAACCCCAGATCACCGCCATCGCCGCCTCCATCTTCGCTCCAACTTCACTTTTGACCCTTCGCACAATCGCAGACACAACCATCACGAGGCGGTGCCGTTCGACCCTCTCGTTGCCGACATTGAGCGCCGTCGTGAAGACCGGCAATGGGAGAAGCAATATGTGGAAGAACACCATCCAGAGATGGCTGCGCATTTGAGGGAATCGGCCCCCGGTGAAGAATCGCAGCCCGAGTGGGAGGATTTTGCGAATGCCGAGGATTATATCAATGATGATAATAGGTTCAATGTGACCGATCGGCTGACGTTGCTGTTTCCGAAGATTGATATTGATCCACATGATGATTTTGTCACTGTCGATGAGTTGACTGAGTGGAATTTGCAGCAGGCCGAGAGGGAAACTTTGCATAGGACTCGAAGGGAGTTGGAGACGCATGATAAGAATCATGATGGGCTTATTTCGTTTTCAGAGTACGAGCCCCCCAGTTGGATTCGCAATTCAGGTCTGTTTTTCTTGAAATGCTGTTGGATTTTAGTTTTATGTATGCTCGACAATGAATTGGCGACTCTTTCTTCTTGTATTGTTCAATTCTTCCTCATTGCGAATTGCTATGCTGTGTAGAAAGATATGTTTGTACTGTTCAATCTCTAGGACTAAGAGTTCGAAAAACCCTTTGATCGATTTCTTAAGCGATAAGTATTTTGACAAATACAAATGTAATTGCCCCACATATGATGCAGATTCATATGAGTTTTTCCATTTGTTTCATGTTCCTTTGTGTATTACTCATTATTAAACTGTTCATCAGATAACAATTCCTTTGGGTATGATATGGGTTGGTGGAAAATTGAACACTTTAATGCATCGGATGCGGATGGAGATGGTCTTTTGAATTTGGCCGAGTTCAACGAGTAAGTTTTTAGTATTTGTGGAGGCTATTTTTGAGGTGAACACGGAAAGCTTATTGGATGTTTTAATTGAGATACATATGATTTTTCTTCATCTCTGGATTTTTAGCTTTCTGCACCCAGCTGACAGCAAAAACCCAAAGCTACTTCATTGGCTGTGTGAGGAAGAAATAAGGTAATGAAATTTTATGAAGTCATGTTCTTAACAGTTATCACAAATTTTCTCAATGTTTTATTTCCGTTAGTTTCAAAGCCTTTTATCTACTGCCTTTGCATTAGCATGTTCAGTTTCTCTTCATGTCTGCTAAATCTACCATTAGCGTTAAAAATGACTTTAGTCTATGGAGGTTCTTACTGAGAGCATTGAAATAAAGACGTTTGATTTTCTATAATTTCATAATATATAGCTCATTTTGGTTATTCTTGAACCTTCCATCGAACTTTGGAATTAATTAGTTTCATGTCGAGAACCATTTAATGCTTGATTCAAGTGACTTGAACTATGATAGATATATGATGAGAGGTCCTTGCTTTTCTGTTTTGTGGAGTTTTGTTGGCTGAATTATTTTTTCCATATCTATATATTAAATACTTTTTTTAACAAGCTTGCACGTACTTTGACTAATCTTAATGGGACAACCACTTGACTCTGCTACATTTGGTTGCCAGACACATAAGATACTCATAAGGGGATAAAAGTGCGAAAGAGGGTGATAAGGAATCCATCCATCCATAAGTGGGATAAAAGCAGCAATATAGGCTTTTGTTCTTTAACCAAAGACAACAACGACTAAGAGATAAGGCCCAATAATGATTTTTAGTCTTTGAATAACCCAAGGTGGATTTATCCCTCCCCTTAGTGAAGATTGCAAGAAAAATGTTTACTCTTGGGAGTTTGAAGAGACTTTCTTCAAGTAAGGACTCTATATTCCTTAAACTCCTAGAATATGATGGCAGTATAATGCCTCCAGGTTTTAACTGCCATCAAATGCTCTCTAAAGTCCGCACCTGTTTTTCACGGTGATTGTTTGTGATGTGCATGCGGGAAATCAGCTCATTTATCTCCTTATTACAGAAACGCCTTCTGAAATCAGGATTCTAAGTATTAGAGACAATGCTCCGATGCTCTTTGGCTGCAGTAATTTACTTCAGCCGCATTATCTAATCTTGGAAGGAGAAGTTTCAAAGAAATCTTTGCTGCCAAGGCATGGTTCTCTAATTTGTAGTTGCCGGTGGTTTTTCGTTAAGTTGCATATTGCATTAAAGTTCCGTGTCTAGTGCACTTCTCTTCCTTTATGAACCAACTCAACTCATCGTTTGCTATTGGGCATCTTGTCTAATAGGCTTGAGGGTGATCTTTCCGTCAGACAAATTGTCTTACCCAAGTCTGAGAGGAAATCAGAATTTAAAAGTCAAAATCTATCTGGGAACTGAAAGGCTCTGTACTAACTCTGACACTGCAGCTTTTTTACTGGTTTTCTTCGTTCAGTACCTGGGTTACTGGGGGAAGATGAAGGCCATTGGGAATCAAGTACTTTTGTCTGCCAGACACAAGTCTTTTTGCCATTCTCATGAATTTAACTTCCACAAATTCCTGGCGATATATACATAGTATAATTCTTCTTAGTAGGTTTTTTTTTTTTGAACTGTGAGGAGTTTTCTATTGATCCTTCTCCATTCTGAGTTCAGCTGGTAAAGATCTAAAATATTCTTTTCTCTGACGTAAGCTTCTAGTTCACTTAGTGGAGTAACAAAACTGCAACATTTTGTTCCCATCTCTTCAAAGATTTGGAGAAAGATTTCTAATTTTTTCCCGTCCACCACATGAGGGAATATCTACCATCCTGTCTAGGATTGCATCTCTCCATTTGTTGAATTGGATGAAAACTATCGCTCTATTCCCTGTACAGACTCAGCATTCTAGCTTCATCAGCACTCTCACATCTAAGCAGTGTTTTGTTGGTTGGAAAGGATTTAACACACATCTTATAATGTATCTGTGGATCTCTTAAGACCCTTTAGCCGTTTTTCATTGACGCATCTACTCAAAACAACTGCCATTGTTTCCAAATCTATTTGCAGTATCTCCTTTAAATTGATCTTAGTCACACCTGTTTCTTGTGTAGCTTGTCTTCCTTTTGCTCCTTGTTTCTAATCAGTTCTTTCATTGCAAGGGATGTATTCTTCCCGCTTGATATTATCCTCTCTTATCATCTCTACATTGAAATCCTTCCAAAGGCTCAGGAATGACTATTTCGCTTATCATCTCTCCATTGAAATCCTTCCGAAGGCTTGGGAATGATTACCTATTTTATCATCTTTTGATGATTATTTCTGATTGGAAGGCTCTGTTCATGCAGTTTTTTTTTTTTTTTTTCCTTGTAATTACTTCCTTCTATGGCTTTTAGGCTGTCCCTGGCCGGTTGGTTGCCGTTTCTTCTATCCGCATGTACCTTTCTTCATTTCTTGTAAGAAGATTTGTTCTGTCAACTCCAGTTCAGAGGGGATAGGCAGGATATGATTCTTTTCATCGTTTTATAGTTACTGTTGGCAAGTCTCCTCAGCCTCTGCTGATTAAGGAGAAAATGGGCTTGGCTGGAAGAGGACGACAACTTGAGAGAAGGAGATGAAGAATCAAATTGTATCAATTGTTTTTTCAGTAGGCAGGTAGGTTATGCTTCCTTCCATTGTTTCATAGTGATGAACTGTTGGCACCAGCATCCCAGCATCCTCAGCCTTTGCTGATTAAGGGCCCAGCTAGAAGAGGATGGTAACATGAGAGAAAAGGAGATGAAAAAGCAGATTGTATCGATTATTTTCAGTTTCCCCCAAATTTATTAGAAAAAAATAAAGAAAAAGGAAAAAGTGGAATGTGAAGAAACAGGTGTTGTAGAATTCCATTATGGTTAAAGCTCAAAATCACAACAGTTGGGAGGCATAATCAAGGAGCTTAGCTTGCTCTATGTTAACGTCTACAAGAAAAATATTACTTTCTTAGAGTATCTTTTCTCTGAACCAACGTGGTAGCTCCTTCTCTAGCAGTTCTCTCAAAATCTAATTGTAGGTCTTGAACTCACAATGAAAGAACCATTTTTAGTCCAATATTTTTAGTACATATATGCATATGGTAATGTTACATTTCACTATGTAAGTTATCTATCTATCTATCTACATATATACAGTATGTTAATAAATGTTATTTTCTTAAGATGTGTTAGGCATTTTTGTTAGGATAGATAAATTCATTACCAATCTCAAATAAATTTTTGTTGTGGATAGTATCTGCATTGCTAAATCTATAAGCATTCTCTTTCTTGTACATTTTTTCGTGGCTTCAATGAAATGTAACTTATAAATAATCTATGAAGAAGAAACAATAGAGCTCACATACATGTTTTTTTTTTCAAGCTTAACTTATTTGGAAGGGTGTAATCTTTTCTATGGTTTGGGGTTTGGCATTTCAGCACCTTTGCTAACTAGCCAATTTGTGTGTGGCCTTGTAGGGAGAGAGATTCAGACAAGGATGGAAAGATTAACTTCAACGAGTTTTTCCATGGACTCTTTGACATGGTGAGAAATTTTGATGAGAATCACAATTCTTCACATCATTTAGAAGATTCCAGGGATGGCCCCGCCAGAAACTTGTTCAAGGTGCTAGACAAAGATAATGACGGGTAACTAAATTTATGATGTGAACAGCTTCATACATGGAAACTGCAGAGTTCCTTGGCAACTTTAATGATTTCTTTGTGTTATTTTTTCTCATAGATACCTATCTGATGAAGAGCTGCTACCCATAATTGGAAAAATCCACCCTACAGAGCATTACTATGCAAAACAACAAGCGGAATATATCTTACAGCAGGTACTCATGCATGACAAAATTTTGAAACCCAAATGAAATTTGAAGAATCTTTTGGCCTTGTTGTTATGATATTGCTTGGATACTGCACACATTAATGGAATAAACAATCATCTTGTACTAATACGCCCTTGTCATGAGACTCTCATGTCTGGCTGCATAAGTATTTTCTTTAATTTTGACCAGTCATCCACCCATGCATGATGCATTAAGATTTATGTAAAAATCATTTTTAGAACGATTAAAATCAGTCATTAAAACACAACCATTCACTAAAGATTTCCTGTTTGAACTTTGTGTAATAATGCTGCAGCAAGAGATTTCAGTTTCCCCTTGATTCATTTTATCTTTTAATGTATTGTATAGCATAATTGTTTATGTTATTTGTTCCTCATTGATTTTGATCTGATATACCAAGTTGTTCTCTCAGCTAAAGAACATTAATATATTGTATGACATGATTTTATCTTTGGCATTTGGTATAGAAAAACTTTCTTGCAAATGTTTGTTATCTCAATTAGAAAACATTACGCCTAGATCGAAATAAGCCTGGAAAACATGTTCTTCGTAGCGAGTATGTCTATTGATCAACAACTCCTTTGTATCTCTACTTTTCAGGCGGACGCAAATAAAGATGGACGTCTCACCTTGGCAGAAATGATTAATCATCCATACGTATTTTACAGCGCCATTTTCAACGAAGATGACGAGGATGACTATGATCTCCACGATGAGTTTCGTTAAGTTCTTTCCATTATGGTCGAACTTTTTCGGACAAGACCAGCCATGATGACCTCTTGATAGTTTGTTGCTGTAGCAGGAGTAGTTGATAGGCTAGTGGTATAAGAAAATGGAGTTTTTCGCTCCACGAAATCAGGACATAGAGTTTGAAGTCTTAGTCAACAACTTCGAGGCGAGCATTGGATTTGAAATGGTGGTCTCATTCATTACTGGTTTAACCTTCACCCATGTCTGCCCATTGGTATCCTCATTTTGTAGCATATGAAACTCTCATCTTGTCTGAAGATGATGATGATCCATACCTTAGATCATAGACATTTATTTAATTTGGTTGCTAATTTTTGTTTAGTTCGGTGTCGTCGGGGTATAGAATTATCATTTAATCGTTATTTGTTACTAATTTACTGTTCATGGATACGAATTTTCATTGATTCAAATTTTCTTCGGAGTTCTGAAGCTTATGGCTTTTGAAAAGTGGGCTACACAATTGTATGTACTTTTTGTTGCTTTGCAGCAATGAAGCTGTAGTTGATTTTTGGTTGGGGACTCTATAAAATGTCAAAATTTAAATAATTGCATTAAAGTAATTTCAGTAGATTATTTTAATGTCCTTATTTAGGAAGTGTTTTATGTTCCTAATAAGTTTTATACGCAAAACTATCGTATAGAGAACGCGAACATGCTCGACAACTCCCTCTTAAGTGATTTTACGGGGGTCTTCGACTATGCAATGATATTACTAAATGAGAGGAAAGTTAAGACTCGTATGTCAAGTTTTATCAATAGACATGTAACAATTAATCGTGCTACCTCAATGGAATAGTTGAGTTGAACGCCTAGTACGTGTGCTTGCACGGTGTTTAGTTACCTACAAACTCCGTGTTTTGATGTTATTTTGAAATCTCTATCACTTCAACCTATTTTTTGTCGGTCATATACAAGAGTGGAGAAGGTTGACAAATTTTCAAGATCTAAAGATATTTCCTAACCTACTCCCATTTAGGCCAAAAGTAGGATGACGTCAAGCCATTAGAATCCCATCAACGAGGGAGTAGCATTACATCCTTATCTCTAGGGGCAACATAGGTTGGTAGCAAAAATCGATGTTAAGTCATTAATAACAGTGAATCAAACGGTCTAACGCATATAAAGCAAACAAACATAACCAATGATGATACAATAATAAACATAACCGTCTAACACATATAAAGCAAGAATATTATTTCTTTTAGAATCGAAGCGACGATGTTAGAACGATAATCAGTGTCTTATCCACCAACTTATGTTTGACATCAAGCGAGGGAGAAAACCCTTTGTTATACTCCTCTCACTCATTTTATTGACCAAAATGTTATTTTCTTTCTCAAAAATTACCATGACTTAAATGAAAACAAATCCATTAGGTTAAGAATAATTCACTTTTCTTGCAAAATAAACGTTTTTTAAGATCACAATGACATACGAGAGACTTAATTATAAGATAGCTCGAAACAGAAATTCGAATCTCTAACTTCTTGATAGAGCAACTAAGCAATGCTTCGATTGATAGCTCAAATCTCTCGTGTTTTATATTGACGAGAGAACTTTTTATCAACCGCTAAAAGATTGAAATCGTTTGATTTCTTTCACAAACTTCCAAATGGGTATAACCAATTAGTCGAGCAAATTGCTTCATTTGACAATTTTGAGACAAATAAAGCAATCCATCTTATCCAATTACAATCTTAGACGATTCTCGATCATGATATTAATAATGCTCTCTTTAAAAGTCGTAGGTTAGACAAATTTAATATCCATAAAATAAAATAATCCTTAAAAAATTATAATTTTTAGGAGAATTTCTAAGTATCAAATATTTTTTAAACCCTAAAAAAAATCCAAAGGCACTTCATTTACAATATTCAACTTAAAGGAACTTTACCAAAAGTTCTTCAATCAATAAATGATGCTTATTTTGAAAAAAAAAAAAAGTTTTTAAAACCTAATTTATTTTACTTTTTTACGATATATATCGGTTATTAAATGGGTCCGAAAGAATTATTCAGTGGGACCCATGAAATTAGAAGTTTGTCTAAACTCTAAACTCGATTATATTTTAAAATTTTACACTGAATGTGAGATTTCACATCGATTAGAGAAGGGAACGAGTGTCAGCGAGAACGTTAGCCCTAAAGGGGAGGTAAATTATGAGATCCCACATCGATTAGAGATGAGAACAGAGCATTCTTTATGTATAAGAGAAGTGGAAATCTCTCATTAGCAGACGCGTTTTAAAACCTTAGAGAGGAAGCCCGAAAGAAAAAATCCAAAGATAACAATATCGAATAGCGATGGGATTGGGCCGTTACACTAAACTTAAATGGTTCCCTTAAACCCTCGACCCTAAACCCTAAACCCTACACCCTAGACTTTGTACTCGAACTCGACCGAAATCAAATTCAAACGAAAAGAAAGAAAGGGCGATAATGAGAAAGGCAAGGGAGGAGGTTGAGGACAAAGAAATTAGGGCAACCCATATGATCCCACACATAATTAAAGCCTGCCTTTGTGTACCACCGGTCACATACTTCCCATAATTGGTCCCCTCCAACTTTTATCTCTCTTTTCTAACAACTTGTACAATCCTTTTTTTTTTTTTTCAAAAAAAAAAAAACCCATTTACCTCATTTTCTTAAAAAAATTATTTCCCCGCCCTGAACGAGATCTGACGTAATCAAGGATTCAAATGACGGTATCCAAGAGGAACTATGCAACTACATTATTTTCCATCTTTATCGATCTGGGCATAGCTCGTTTTGTTAAAATGTTACGTATCTTGCTCGCTATCCAGTTGGACAGTAATGGGCGGAGAAGAGCGATCACTCATTTTTAAAACCAGCATTCTTAAGATCAAAGAGGTGGACAGAAAATAGGGGTAATCTCTCTGCTCTCCGCTCTCCGCTCTCCTATCAACCTCTCTTTTTAAAAAATTATTCTCGCACTGAGCGAGACTTAACTTAATCAAGGATTAAACTGACGGTGTCCATGAAGAACTATGCAACTACATTACTTCCCATCTTTATCGATCTGAGCATAGCTCCTTAGGTTAAAATACCTTATTCTCCTTAATTCATCGACATAGTTTATTCTCTCTTCTTATACTATATCGTGTTAGAGCATTACCTGATATTCTAGTTAATTTGTTATTTTATCAAATTATATTTAAATTGACATCAATTATTTTATTTAATTAATTTAGGCATATTTTTTTTTAAAATGAAATTAATTTCAATCCATGGTCATTGTTTAATTTTCAAAACCTCAATTTTATTACCTCCAAACAATTAATTTTCATAATAAAAATAATAACATAAATTTCAGTATTTATTATTATTATTATTATTATTATTATTATTATTATTTGAAATGATAGTCTCTTTAGGAATTGTACATTTTGTCCTAAAAAGTAAACTTTTGGGGGGAAAAGGACCTATAAGTAAATAACTCATGTGCAAATACTAAAAAGTTAGGGAAAGGGACAAAAAGGTGCATTTTAAAAAAAATATTATTATTCTTTTTTAAAATATAAGGGTAATATTTTCACCAAAGGTAAAAAAAAAAAATTACTCTCTATTTTTTAAAATTTACAATATTACCCTTAATATTTATCAACGTTTCAAAACTATTATTTAAATATGAATTCTTTAAATTTTAGACAAAAATTGACACCGGAAATGGTATGTTGGTATTTATGAATAGTCACATATTGTCAACCTAAGCTACATCGGTCGGCTTCCCGTTCTCCTCAAGCTATTTTTTTACGATATTCAAGAAGACGTGTATGCTTGTTCATCTTGACGTCCGTCAATCTAAGTTGATCTTAGTTCGTTTTTTCTTGCTTGCTCGAGTCGTAATATTTAAGTTCTTTGATTTAATTTCTCGATAGCTTTTTCTTAGGTTTGGTGGTTCTCCCTTTTTATAATGAATACTCCATCGAACGAAAATGAAAAATTTAATTTATTCGTATAGTTTAATTATTAATTTCTAATTTTCTATGGTCTTATTTTTCGTCAACCTATATCAACATCACATCAATTTTTTTAATAACTTTAATACATTAATATATGTAACCCATATCTTCCCTTTGGGTATGGGTTTAATATTAATGTTTCCCATGTGAGTGTCATGTTGGTCCATTTTAATATGTCAAAGTAAATAAATAAATTAGCTATTTAACGTGTATATTCTACACATCACTGTTAAATTTTTTAGAATAAGAAGAACAGAAGTTTTAAATTTTCTCTTAACTGTCAAAATTTTAATAACGGTGTGCAAAAGAAGATATCAGTATTAACATGTAATTTAAATTTTCACAAACGTTTCAAAATCAATTAAGATATTGAACGAAAAATTGACGTTACAGTGACTCAAAACAACATGATATTGACTAACATGTTCGTGTGGATTAAAGTTTAAGAATGACATTCAGATTGGTTGACCTTTCGTCCAAAATTCCAACGGATTTTCAAATTGTTAAGAGCAATATTACGAAAAATTAAAGTATTTTTAGAATAAATAACCGACTTCAAGGGCATTTTTGTAATTCAACATATTAAAAATATAAATGTCATTTTTTTTTATATCGACATTTAAAATTTTTGGTATGAACAAATTTGGCCGCTCGAAAATTATTTATTTATTATTTAATGAGTCATGAATACCCAAACCATACATTTGACTTTAGTACAACATTGAAAAAATAATTGCTACAACATTAGGGGCCAAATGAAACATAAATATCTTGGTCTAACCTAATAATATTTTCTAGCTTTATTTTTTTCAAAATAATAATAATAATAATAATTTTAATTATTGTTACTAATTTTTAATAAGCTATTAAATGAAGCTATCCCTTGGGTGGAATATTAAATAAAAAGTATATATATATATATATATTAAAAGAAAGTATTTGTTATAAGATTATTTTAAATAATAATGATAATAATAAATATAATGAAAGCAGATTTTAGAGGTTGGATTTAAAAAATTTTAAAAATTTAAAATTCATGCTATATTTTAAATTTTGATTAAATTATTTTTGTAATAATTTAAAATTTACTTAAAAATATATTATGCTATTTATTTAAATATCTCTAAAAATGTCAAATGAATTTGTAATTAGTTGTTATTTCCTTCTTTATTATTATTTATTGGCAATAGTTTACTAACATACCAAATTTAGATAAATATTACCACATTGTTTAATATTTCCAATTTAATCATTTTTTAAAATATTTTATTAAATTCTTTTTAAAATAATAATTAAATAATATTTTTTTTAAGCATTTTTTAAAATTTATTCTATACATTGCATATGTAATTCATTATTATTGTCTCAAAAAATAATTTTCAAATTCTATTAAAATATTGAAACTATAGGATTGAGTTCTGG